TAATTCTGAGCAACAGAAGGGGAAGGCACCTTAAATCAAAATCTCTTTTCATAGTAAGCTGTTTCAAGCTGCCTCTTGATGTTGCATTTGCCTGTTTTGTTGCTTTCATGATCTTTCTCAACTTCCTGGTTTCTTTGCCACAGAGATGCCCTTGTAGAAAGCACCTTTTCCTGTAGAGCAGTGGCCAGTATTTCTGGCAGGTGTGCCACAAGTTAGCCCCACACCTTCCCCAAGTGCTATTTTGAGCCCCTTCCTCTGCCTAATCTGCCTTCTGCTTCCTTCCCTGTGGTCGCTGTCCAGTTTTGCTGCTTTGCTTCCTGCCCTATCTGCTGCCTGTCCCTTCCTTGATGTGCCGCACGCTACTAGTGGCATCCACCCCACAGGCTGGCCCAGGCTGGCCCATCCCTGCTATACAGTATACGTTCTTATGATCTGAACTTTGTGTCAACATTTTCTGAAGAGTAGCAGGAAATGCAATGGATAAAGCTATTCCTATACAACTGACCTGATGTTTTTCCTGTATTCTGTAGTCTGTCTACAAGTTTTGTACAGGAATTAGAGCCAGAAATTGTGGCATTTTTGCTTATTTCCAGTGTCTCTGAAATTGGTTTCCTGCATCCCCCGACTTTTCCATTTATGATTCTTCAGTCAGAGGGTTCAGTTCTCATTTGCATTATTTTGTGTACCTTTTATCTATCTGGAAGTAGATTCACTCACGCTTCTAATGAACCTAACAGTCTTACTGTGTAGCATGGCTATTGCTCAGCAGTTGCTATCTTAGTCCTAGCTCCTATTTTTAAATAATCCTTTAATACCTAAGTTTACTTTCAATGCTGGTCATCTTTTCCCTTAATTAAGGGGGAAATCTTGTCTATTTGTCCATGACCAATACACTAAGCCTCCAATTCTCAGCCATCTTCTCTCATTCATGTATTGAAACACAAATTTCACATCTCACCAACTTCGTTAATGTAGCTAGAAGCATTTTAGAGAAAGTTAACAGTGAGGCCCTAGATTTAAAACTCCTGGTCTTATTTCCAATGGGACAATAAGGTTTGTAAACAACCTATTTTTCTAGACATAGTATAATTAGACATGCAAATCATTATTTAAAACAAAACCTTAATAATTGTGTACCACAGTTAAACTGAGAATAATCCACATATTCAAATACATGTACCGAAAAAAATTATCAAGTTTGTTCTGAGTGCCAAAAGTGAGCAAGTTTTTGTAAAACCACAGGAGCATCTTAACATACAGTAAGAATTCCTCCAGTCATTAATATTTAAGCTGTTTTACCTCAGTTGGTTATTATTAACATGGGCATTTCCTTCAACTCACCTAAGAGTTCAAAGGACCTTTATTCAGAGGTGCTACAAGACTTGCCAAAAACACTGATGGTATTGTTGCTTCACACTAGACGGACTAGGCTGGTAGATAAGAGTACAGTACAGGACTAAAACTGAGACCTTGGTTCTGTTCCTGGCACTCACCTACTGGCTGGCCTTGGGCAAGTATTTTCACTTTGCTGTCCCTCAATTTTCCCTATCTTGCAGACAGGGATAATACTGACTTCTTTTATAAAGCATTTTGAGATAAGAAACTAAGTTTTTTTTATTTATCTTTATATCCCACTTTTGCTCACCCATCAGTTTAACACCCCTGCCCTTGCTGCTTGAGAGTACACATATGCCAACTTGTAGGTAATACCCAATAAAAAGTTGTCTACCTTAAATCAACTCCTGCTGCCTGTTCCTGATTCCAGCCACGTTCAAACTCAGTGGCTGGTCTCTTCTCTGTGAACTAACCTTATGTCTCTTTCATATCCATACAGCTCTTGTTCAGAGTCCCCATCTTTAACTCTTTCTTAGGCTAACCTCATTTTACCTGCTGGCCCCAAAAATCTGAACTTTTTTTCTGTTCACCCTCCAAATAATCCAGGTATCTTTGTACAGTTATTGTCCAAAGCTATTTAAGATGGAGTGAATTTTAAGCTCCCTCATTATTTCAGGAATCTTGTTTATTTTACAGTTAGTTATAAAGATGGTTATTTTAAAACATATGCATAAACTCCGAGAGTAAAGCATATACTTTATGTAAATTAAGTTAATTATTATCCAAGAAACCACTATGTGCTTTGAGTTTGACTAATAGTTGTCAGTACTTGTGTCCAAGTTATTTAAAATCAAGTAAAACTGTTGAATGTTAGGGCACTTCATGGTTGCATATTGTGTGTTTTATTTGTAGTGCATAAGAGAATTTATAAATTCACTGTACTAATCTGAAGATAACATCTAGTAACAACACTTTTGTGAGACCAGCTGAAATCATCTTGGTAATATAGTTTCAGAGTACAGTGCAGAAACTGAAAGTAGCATCTGTGAGTGCTTTTAGAACCATTATGTATATTTATTATAGAATTTCCTTTACTTATTTAAAACGAACTGAGAAGCACCACTGCCACCTACTACATAACTTTTCATAAACAAGCTACCCAAGGACATGTAAGCTCCGTCAAACATAGCTTACCTCACCTATTACTTCCTTCCTACTCAACTCACTCCATTGAATGAAACTTCCTCTTTTCAAGACATATATTCATATGTTGATAAGAGCTGCAATGCAACCTGTACAACAGCTCTAAGGTCAGACTGAGGAGGTAGGGCTGACTCAAGACTGATCATTTTTTAAATTACTATTCAACTCTCAAGTCTTGTTTAGATTACTTGTTTGTAAACTGTATACTTAACCTCACTTTGGAAGAAAAAACCCAGGCCTTCTTACTTTAATCTTGGGCATGGAACATGGTTCTACAAAAACTTGCATCTGACCTTGCACACTACTGTGATGGGAAGTAACTGTTTCCCAGTTAAAAAATGCTACCCCCTGCAGTTGGAAAATTAAAAAGATTTTCCACAATGTAAAGGACAATGATGAATAACTATTACAAGCAATTACTGATTTTTATTGAGTGGGTTTGATCCTGATAAATTGAACACATTAAGTATCACAGAACACCTTAAGTGACTTTTTGTCACGTACCTATTTTGGGATGGATGCCTCCCTGGTATTGGCCAGAGCTCCTGCCTTGATGTAATATATCTTTCCTGACAAAAGGTTAGTTTAAACTGATATATTTTTACAAGAGATTTTGATAAATTATCAATAAAAAAAAATGCCAAAGTATTCTGTTAAAAAAAAAAAATCCATCAATTGTGAAGTCTTTAGTCATGAGACTTTACATACTCCTATTTTGATGATCAAAGGGCAGGGGTAGGAGAAGCCAGAACACAATTAACAGGCAGCATATATACTTCTTTACCTACTGAGATAATTAAGTTCTCTGGCCAGTCAATGGTGGGCACACATACACATGCGCTTTAATGCACATTAACTTATTTTAATATGCATTAACTAAATAGAATTTTTTTAGTGACACTTTAATGCATATTAAAAAACTAATGTACATTAAGCGCCACTTAAAAACCATGGTAATTTATACACATACCTTTTCATCTCATGATGTGCTGGAGTTCTCGTGAGTCAGAGCAGACTTGATTAATTGAGTCTGCTCTGCATGTGAGCCAACGTGCACTGTGCTGCTTTGCATGCAGTTAGTTGTATAAGCAGCGAAATGCGTGTCAGCATGCAGAAAATGGCAACGGTGCGCTTTTGAACTAAAACACCTTCTGTGTTTTAGTTCAAAAGCGCGCCACCATTTTCTTATCACTGACACACATTTCACTGCTTATGCAATTGTATATGCCACAGCACTGAGCATTTTTAGAAGTGCCCAGCACCATGGCACAAACGTGTACAAATGCCCCGTGTTTCTTAGTCGATGTGCATTAAGATAGGCTAATGCACATATTCTTAGTACCTTACAATGGAGGAACTAGATTTACTGTGCAGTAACTAAAGCATGTTAATGCACATATAGATGCACCCAATCATTCCTAAAAACATTTTGTTCTCCGGAAGAAAATGTCATTGGTCATCCACTAATAAACATGGTTTGCTTTCATTTATTATACCTAGCCTCCACCAAGTCTACCTGGATTGAAGAAGTCACTGTGGCTTGCTGGTATTAATAACTATGAATACAATGAAGTAATTATGGCCTTTTGCTTATGAAAACGTATGCTATACATCTCTGATTTAGCTACTTTTTAAAGGTGAAAATCTATCTTATCTTCAGCTAAAAAACTGAAAATCTCCTCTCAAGTTGGGATTCATGGCCTGTTTTAAAGACACCAGGAAACCCCCCCTTCTGTGGAGCAAGTTCTAGGGACAAGGAGTGCAGGGTGGCTGTGACTGCCACCATTGGTTTGTTCTTAGATGTATAGTCTTTTTATCAATATATTTTCCTTTGTTATTGGTCTACTCCTTAAATAAAGTTACCCACCCTATGCTTTTCCTAAATCAAGCTGCCCAAGGACACTTACCTCCTTAAAACAAGTTTTTCTTTATCCATTTAGTTTGTGATGTTTTTAAATAATTGTTGAAATCTTTTCCTCCCTCTATTTTGATCCTTCACCACCTACATTGTCAGCAAAACAGAGGAAAAACTCCAGACTCTGACTCTAAGCCCTTTCTTGCCTTGTAAAGTTTTCCTTAGGCAGCCGAGGAGGAAATGACATACATCCCATGACTATTGATTTTTTAGGGACTAAAGTTTCCAAAACTATTTAATGGAATCAATCATTAAGATAACACTAGAAACAAACAATTAAAAGCAAAATCCCATAAAAGGTGTATGACTACATGATAGCCAGTCCCAAGCCACAATAGCAAGAGAGCCAATCAGGCACTGATAAGCAGGGATCCTGGTTTCCTCTGTTAAGAAAATCCAAAATTCTCTGAATAACGCGCCCCCCCCCCCAATATCTGCATTTTTCTATAATTAAAATGGACCACCACTATATATATAGAGGTATCAGTTGAACACAATGTTTTACTGATATATTTACACTTTTAAAGCAATTTGGAAGCCTGCCAGTGCCTCAATCATTATAATAAAATAAATAATACCTATATATTTTGGCATTTTTTTATCATGAAAAAAGTCAGAGCTTCCCCTGCCCCTTTCACTCACCAGGACATGGGTCCAGCTGCAGCTGTCATACCCCCTCCCCGCTTTGTGGACTGAACAGCCCTGACATGCTGGTGCCCTGCCCAGCCCCTTACTTCCAAGCCACAGTCCTCCTAGTGCCCACAGCCCCTGCCCATTCCCTCCCAGCAGCAGCTCCCCCACACTGTACCAGGCCACAGGTCCAGCTGCAGCTGTCCCCTACTGCTTTGTAGCTCTAAGCAGTGCCAGCCCCTGCTGTTCTGCTCCCTGCGTCTCTTGACAGCAATAAGGGCCAGGTTCAAATTTAGCTTCTGCTCAAGTCCCCATGCAGAAACCTGGGACAATTAGATTTAAACTGGGGTGTCCTGAATGAACAAACTTCCCCCTTGTAAGCAGTGCCCCAACCAGAGACAGATTTATTATAGGACAAAGGGAAAAGAAACACAAAATACAGCTCAAAGCTTTTTTAAACTTTAAGCCTTAAGTTCTATAGTCCAGCCCCACATGGGGGCTCTGTTCTTCTCAGCCCTCCTGGGGTCATGCACTCATTCCATGGGCCCCCTGCCCCTACTGGGACCTCCCCCACAGTCCCATCCACTTTCCACCAGATATTACATGGCCAGCAGCAGATTGCCTGCTCTGGCTTCTGGCTGGCCCCACCCCTAGAGGGTCACATGACTGGCCTGATTGCCAGCTCTTCCCCCACATCCTGGCTCCTGCAGCCTGACTCACTTCTAAAGTAGCAGGTGTGCCCACAGTGCCCTGCCACACCCCACCCATTGGGGAGCTTCTATGAAGCCCAGGCAGTCTGGACTTGGGAGGTCCACCCAAAGCAGGAAACCTCAGAGCCCACCAAGCTATACCTGCCTCACCCTAACTGGCTGGATAAGGGGGCCACACCAGGGAACCCTGTAAGCTGCTCCATGTGTCGGTTCCTTGGAGAGTTGCTGAAGTGTGCAGCTGGGGTGTGTTGGTCTTTGCTGCAATGTAAGCTGCTCCTGTGCTCCTCGGTGAGCTCCTGGAGTGTGCTGGTCCTTGCTGCGATGAAAGCTGCTTCTAGGAGGTCCTCAGTGAGCTGTTGGGGTGTACCAGTCTTTTCTGCAACATAAGCTGCTCCTGGGGGGTCCTCAGAATGCTGCTGGAGTGCGTCAGTCTTTGCTGCGATGTCAGCTGCTCCTAGGGGATCCTTGGTGAGTTGCTGGAGTGTGTCGGACCTTGCTGCGATGTCAGCTGCTCTTGCGGGGTCCTCAGTGAGTTGCAGCATTCCAGCCACATTTTCATCTTTCAGGCATTGGTGCTGAGCACTGAAAAGAACCCCAAATTTGCTGAAACTTCCTTCCACATCAGATGAATTTACAGTCAGTTGGAGAAGAACCATTGCATATTTTGCCAGGTTGGGAATGCGATCTTCAACAGCCATCCAGAACTGAATGGGATCCTCGACGTCTGCAAACCCGTCTTTGACAATCCCTAAATACACTGGCCATTCCATGTTGCATTCGTTGGGCAGCTTTAATGCCTGTTTCACAGTTTCATAATCTGTATAAACAGCACCAATTTGTTTAGGATCCAGTGCACGAACAGCGCGGAGAAAATCAATTGCCGGCTGTTTATTTTTTACATTGTATTGTCTCAGTTTATCAGCAGCACTTTGAGCAGCTGTGGACCCTTTCACATTATCAGTTGATGATGCAAGATGCTCCAGCCATGAAATTAAATCCAGGACAGTGTTGTACACTTTGTGTATTTGGCGCTTTTGTGACTGTAAAATGTCCAGTGCTGTCACCAGGCGTCCACAGTTCTCTGCAATGTACTTAAGGTCAATGTGTAGGTCTTCTACCACTAACAGGCTAGCTAGTTCCCGCAGAACAGATGTATCCCCTTGTTCTGTTCGTTCATGCTCTACAAACCCATGGTAGAGCTGGTAGTGCTGTGCATGGTACTTTACACAATTGAACCATGTATTCCACCTGGTCACAACTGGTTCAGGTGGAAGTGCTGGTGAATCAACACTCTGTTCCTTCAGGTATCTCAAGAACCGTGCACGACGAGCTGGAGCTTTCACTAAAAGTGTCTTCATCAAAGCAACAAAGCGATCCACTTGCTTGAAGGTATCTCGCCAAGTATTTCCTGCTAGAGCAACTACATGTGCATAGCAACGAATATGCACACAGTTTGACCACAGATTGCAAAGCACAGCATTCCAAGCATTTGCCATGTAGCTTGCACCGTCTGTAACAAATGCTAGTATTCGCTCAAGTGGGATACTGAATTCCACCATACAAGAAATCAAGGCTTGTGAAATGGTGGCATGATCAACATTCCCCAGGTACACGGTCTTTACCAGCTGCGGTGCAGGGATGTCCACATGCCTAGGAGGGCGTACCCTGAGCACCTGAAATAAAATGTTGAAAACTGGTTTATTTTCAAAGTCGATTGTTTCATTGGTGACTACAGCAATGAAATTTCCCTCAAAGTCATTAATAAGACGCTGTTTTTCCTCTTCAAAAAGAGGTGGCAGGTGGGAATACAACTGATCTAACTTGGGAATGGCACTGCCTCCCTCGACGTGTTTGTTCAAAAAATCCCTGACAACAGGTAAATCCATTTTTTGCAGAGGAAGGTCTGCTTGTAAACACATTCGAACAAAATCCAAAGTGACAGTGTCACGGTGGTCTTTGGCAACTGAGGAATGCTGTAATGCTGCAGTGTCAGTACATTGTTTCTTTACTGTTGATGGCCCTGCTGTTTCAGCATCTTCTCTTCGTCTCTTTTCATTATGTTTATGCTTAGCGCTTTCCATGTGTTCTACAATTGTCTGCTTTCGAACATGATCTACAGCTTTGTTGCATGCAGTGCAGAACAGCACAGTACCATCAGTGTGAAATTTATCCTTGCCAAACTGAGCGACACGGTCTTTAGGGGTGACTTTTGCGGTCTTTGGCATCTTTTCTAAACTTGAACGCGATGTCCGGAGGCTGAAGTAAAATGTGAGATGCATCAAAACACAGGGACCAACTCAATTCGCGACTGCATTTTTTTTCATGGAAAGTGTGGAAAAAAGCAAGCAAGCCCTGCAATTTTGTTGGAGATAGAGGAAAAAAAGGACTTCTTAGTTCCAAGCAGAAAAGGTGGGAAACCTTCCCACCCTAGAACAAGCTGTGCAAGCCCTGAAACACAAGGGCAGGAGCCTGGGGGCAACACAGGATTGCCAGGCTGCTGGGTGCCAGCTGGCACTACCTGTGGTGCAGCCCCTCAGCAGCTGCAGCAAGATCCCAGGCAGAGGCGATGCCGCTGCTGCAAAGGAATACTAAACCCCGCCCAGTCTGTACCAGGGGAAAATTCATTCCTGACCCCAGTGCAGCATCAGTCTGACCCTAAGCCAGAGGGGCAAGACCCTGTAGCCAGGACCATCTGGGACTTAAGTCTCAGCAGCACTGACACATCCCCAACCAGTGGCTGACCAACCTCTTTTTGAACACTTCTAGTGCTGGAGAGTTCACAAGCTTCTCTACTGAACCACAAGCTGCAAAAAAGGGAAAAAAAAAAAAAAAAAATCGCTGGGGCCACCAGTTAGATTTGTGTCACTGGTTAGACCAGGGTCCCCGGTTAAATGGAGATCATCAGTTACCCCACTAGGCAGACTGAGGTGACTGGTTCAGTCTTCATTTAAACTGTCTCTAACAATTTTTTAAACTGTAAAAACTACTGGCTCACATGAAGACACACAAAGATAAAATGACATACTCACTGCTACCACAAAGACACGCCTCACTGCTCTATCACGAATCCGAATCCTCAGGATTGTCTCTGAACTTGCAATCTCTATTGCGCTTTTTTCCCCCCTCTTTGGCTCCTTTAGTCTATATTATTGATTAACAGAGAATGGAGTTAAATGTAGGTAAACAGCTGTAAATAAATACTACTGCATTCTCAGTTAGTGCACTCTTATTCTTACAGCCACTTATGTTTCAGATCAGCTAGTTCCAAATGCCCATTTCCAAAGCTTGCTTAACACTTGATGCAGTTTTAGCATGTAGAATATGAAGAGGAAGGAGGGCAAGCAAGCTTCTAGGGTCTGTGGAGCAATGGGAGGCTGGGAACACATCCACAGGAACCGTGAAGGGGAAGAAGGCTTGGGGCATGCTCCCTGGCTGGGAGAGGAAGGGTTGTGAAGTCCCTAGGCAGCCCCTCAGGGTAGGGTGGGGGGGAAAGGGCACAGCTAGGACCACCCCATCCCCCAAACATCTCTGGATATGGGGATGGGACAGGGGGCTGTTGCTACCTCCCACTGGAGCAGGGAGGTGGCAGAGTTCCCCCTGCCCTGCCCCCCACCAGCTCTCCCTGCAGGGCCTCCCCTCTTCCCTCCAGCCCTACTGGCATTCCTTATTCCTGCTCCACAGTTCCATGCTGGAGTGGGGGGACCCCCAGCTGATGCCTGCCCCAAGACCCTGCTTAGCCCAAAGGCTGGAGGAGGCAAAGTGAGTCTGAGATTCTCAGGCCCCACTCCCAACAGATAGGGCTTAGGGTTTTGTGCCCTTTTTACAAGCAGCTCCTTGTATGCTGGAACTCTCCCAACCATGTGGAGAGCTGTTTGCATAAGGGGAAAAATCCCATGTTTTTTGCAGGAAACTGAAAACCCTGATCCTTGCTGATTAGTATAGAGTTCTTACTAATAGCACTGTCAAGGAAGCCAGTGGCAAGAGAAAGAGTGAACATTATCGATTTTAGCCTACTGTGAGAGAGGATAAAAATGCAAGGACAGACATATACACAGATACATTTTTGGCAGAATCCAGCTTAAGATGGGATACCATGCCAATAGCACCTGGAAGAATCTTCTTAAAAGATTCTACAGCCCAGTTGCTGAGGTGGAATCAGCCAGGGCCTGATATCAGCAGTTGAAATAACCACCAGGGAAGACACTACATGTAAGGAGCACTGTGTGTGAGGAGCTCAAGGTCACTGGAATACGGGTTCAAAAGTAGCTGCCAATTTTGTCAGTACTACATAAAATATCCTAAATCTCATGGGGTTTCCTCCACCCATTTTCAAAGATATAAACCCTGCAAGGGGCAGCATAAACATGGGTCTAATTTCAGTTTCCAATAGACCCAAGTTACTGCACATTGGCCATGTACAGTCATAAAACCCAAGGCTGAGTTGATTCAATCTTCACAGGCTAGTCTAAACTGTGAAGACTGAACCAGCAGAGAAGTGAGCAGACACTCACTTTTGATTCTGGAAATGCAGCCACATGCCTGTTCAGGGGCGCTAGAGCACACTTCCCTGCTCTGCTGGAGCCAACAGCTTGGACCAAGGCTAATCTGCACACCCTGCACGAGGGGCTTGTGGGGGAGGTGAAAAGCATGCCAGAGGACTGTGAGTTAACTAGAAACTGGAGGACATCTGGGACAGAAGTTCAATAAACCAATTTAACCTAAATCAATTAAATCTGATACTACATCCAGCCAGGTTTATCCTAAACCAGTTTTGGCCATTTTGAAAGCGGTTTATGTGCCCTGAACTTGCGTTGTATTATAGGTTTGACTCGGCTTCCAATCACTTATACTATTTAGTGCGTAATTTCTGTCCCTAGCTCTTCTCTCAGGTGCTCAGTCTGTTTATGATGAATGAAGGAACTCCATTTAAGCCAACTGCAACATGCTACAAACGCAGTGCATGTTGAATATTCTGGTAGGCAGCAACAACCAGGCTTACTATAGTTTATCAGGCACAAAGGCAGACAAACACCCCAGGAACTACCTTTTAATCTTAACAGGATTAACTTTGACAACCTGCAAGAGCTGAAAGCAGTATGTGGCTATTAGGATCACACCTTTATTTTCTGTGCTTTATGGAACTTGTTTATCAGGGAGACCAGATGCAAAGGCATTCAATAATCCGCATCTCCTGCAGACAGGTATTTTTTGCTAATGCAGTTCCCTCCCTTCCCACACGAACCAGAATGAAAGCTTCATGCAGAGAGCTGGAAGAGAGATCCATCCCATTTTTGGAGTCTCCACTGGAGAGATATTATCCACAATTCCTGACCCAGAAACAACTTGCGTTTTGAAAAAGAACAAGGTTTGTATCAGCTTATTCCTTCCCAAATAAATGAAGAAAATATGAAGAGGGAGGTGTCTAGACTCAACAGCACTGAAGGGCAGCAAGTAAATAATACAAAGCTAGACATTTCAAGGCTAGAATACTTTTAACTGCTAGTTCTGCTAATCTTGAGTTAAGGTGCAAAGATCTAAGAATCATGCACAGAGGATGTGTTTCAATAATTTAATCATAAATAGAACCCCCAAGCTTTCTATCACATTGAATACACAGTGGTTCACTGAAATTAATTCCTCCTATCTAGGCTCCACCCTTGAGGCAATCAGAAACAGAGCCCATTTTATGGTCAAAGCATTACTCCCCTTGCCTGTATTCAGTGGTGACTTCATAGCTCAATTTTGACTTCATCATACTTGAAGTTTACAGCAATTACTTTGATGGTGTAAAGAAAGCAACACAAGTAGAGTCTCCACCCTGAAGCGGGGTAGAAATTCCAACCATTACCCCTGCCTTGTGTACTATGTATATTTTTTATAGTTGGATTTTTATAGTTTGAATTTGCAGCCTATGATTAATGGAACAAGAAATATTTGGTCTCCTGCACAGCAGTGATTCAATGCAGTTTTTCAAGTGGAATTAAGCCATGCAGCTTTGACAGTGTATTAAAGATTTTCAAACAAGGTTGAAGAAGGGTTTGCATATCCTCTCACTGCTATGCAAATTTTCATGTCACTTGCAGAGCTACAGACACCTCACCACCAGTTTAAATATTTTGATGTGAAACTGTTAGGTTGCACTGTTGAACCAAGTGAACTACAGCAACTGTTTTTGTTATTTGAAATGCAGTTACTTAGAAAACTTCGCATACAACAATGTATATTATTATATAATCTTTATTTCTTTGTATAACAATCCTGTCAACACACTCGTGTTACCACCATGATTTTGTTTAATTATTGGATTTTTTTTTTTTTAAATACTTATACCTGTTTACTTCTTATGAAGTGTTCTTTTCTTAAAGGGATTGCTTCTGCACTTGAGTTGGCAATCTCAAATCTGAAAAGAAAGCAAGCATTTTAGATCAGATCCAAGTTGTGTACCAGGTAGTATATATCATTTGCATCCATAGGATTATGTAATCTATTACCCTTAAAGCTAACAGAAAAGAGCTTCAGGTTTTGTTCTATGTGAAATAGATTAAAATCTGCAAATGTAAATTTATCTACACACAACAGGGCCTACCATATTAACCCGAATCCAAGATGACTTTGAATTTAAGACTACCCCCCCCCCATTCAGGGAAGACTAAGTTTCTTATAATTTTCCACGTAAATAAGAGTTATTGGAGAGTCATCTTAAATTCATCCACACTGCTGTGGCAGGGAAAGCAGCAGCAAGGGGGCAAGCAGCAAGTAGTGGGGAGGCAGCCTACTCCCTTTATCTTGCCCCCTTGCCACTTCCCCCTGGTCTCTGCCCCCTGCTAATTGCTGTGCTCCTGGGTGGCTTCGCACTGGGTCCTTCATCGCTCCCTGGCTCAGTAGGGAATTGAAGAGCAGTATAAGATCAAGCAGTGAACCATGGAGTGGGAGGGGAATCAGCCCAGAACCAGAGTAGAGACCCAGCACCAATTCCCCTTGTAGCTTTCTGGCTGTGCACCGAGTAGCTAACTGTTCTCTTGCTCCCCACTGATTTCTCTGCCTCTCCCTAGCTCACTAGGGAGCCAGAGCACCAAGGCTAAATATAAACAGTCAAAAAACCTGAGGTTGAATCGATTTAATCTTTGCAGGTTAGTCTACACTGCGTAGACTGAACAGATAAGCAAGTGAAGAGACATTCACTTTTGATTCTGGAAATGCAGCCACCTGCCTGCAGTGGCCCATGCCAGAAACATGGGTGGGGTACAGCACAGCTTCCTGCTCCACTGGAGCAGACACCTTGGGTTAAGGCTAGTCTGCACACTGGATTTAACCTAAATCAGTTAAGCCTGATACTACATCCACCCAGGTTCATTTTAAATTAATTTTGGTTTACATACACTGAACATGTGTTGCATTAGAGATGCGAACCTGTTCTCAGTCACTTATACTGGTTACATGTAATTTCTGTCCCCAGCTCAAGGGAATCAGCCCAGGACCAGAGAGCAGCAGATGACCCAGTGCTGGTGCCAGTCCTCTTTTCCAAGACAAACCCATTTTCCCCATGGTCAAT